CAGTTAAAATGAAATGTTAGCAAAAAAACATTTATTATACCGCTTCAGCTATAGTAACATAGCAGCACACACCTCGATGAAAACTTTAAGGGTCCTGTTTAGCTCCACAAAAGGGTGATTCATGCAAAAACTAAGCATTTCCCTAATTTTTCCGAACTTATATAAAGCTCTATACATTTTCTGAAAAAGGATGCTTGCTTCCTGAGAGATAAATGCTACAGGTTTCTATACGGTGGTGTCTTGAAAAATACTCATTCCATTTCTCTTTGAAGATGACGTTTCCATTATTCTGTTCGTGGAACTGGGAGGGCGTAGATTGATTTTTGTCTCGGTCTCGTTAGGCGGGCGGCCTCGTGCTGCGTACGTGACTAACGCCGCGTGCGGGTGAGTGCCCGTGGGTTTCATGAATGTAGAATAATGTCGACATGAAGGCAACAACAACTAGACAATCAATTAACTGTGATCGATAACAATCATTCATCATTTAATAGTATTTTGTTTATTCGTATCTACTGATTGTTATTGAGTAGAAATGATATGAAATAACTGACCACATATCTATAAACCTCTATGATATATACTTACGAAATGGATATTTTAAATTTAGTAATAAAATTTTTTATTCACCATTCGTCATTTCGTCTATATTATGATGGACGTAATTTTAGAAAATTATTGTGCTACGATTTTCGCTGTGAGTTAACAAGTAGCCGGAGGCTTCAATTAACATTTGATGACAAAGCCTCGTTTCGAAGTTAGCTAATGTCAATAGAAAAAAATATTCAAACGTGGGCATGACAATCGATGTGAAGACCAGGCGTAGGAAGTGTTCAATCGAGTTCAAAGTAATATTGATATCGTACGAATAAAATCCAATAACACGGTAAATTCGTAGAACGTTTAATATTACTGCGAAATATTTTGTTTTTTTTTGTAATAAACAATAATTGAATGGTAAATCTGCCAGCGCTATCGGATTATGCTTGCGAGGTATGTATATATCAACGAGAGTGGTAGCTGAGGATGAAAGCAGGCCATTTAGCTTATCATGATAAATTTATCATCAAGAATGGAGCTGTATGTTTGTTGACCAACTTCGTGGTATAAATAAAAAGGATTAGCAACGATAGTTGCCAGGGGCTCCGCGTGAAGGTCAACGGGATAGGGCATATTATTAACAATAGAGATTCCATTCATTGTTACTAACAATGATAGGAACCATATTAGTGAATGAGATATTTATTTATAAACAACATTATGGAGAATAATATAAAGAAAAAAAACTACCTTGCAAAAGAAAATAATTCATTATTCATGTATAACACTGTGACCAAAAGCTGTACAATATAGTATCTATTATTTTGAACTTGAAAGAAAAACATAATCACCGGATCAGGCCATTTATTTCGGGGATTGGCAGACAAAGAAAAATGTCGAAAAAGAAAAAGTTTTGTGGTTTTGTAAAATATAAAAAAAGGCATCTTTGCAACATAGCCCTCCTTTTCAATACGATAATGTATCAACAAAGTAACAAAGGATAAAAGGAGTTTTCAAAATTTCAATCGTGGATTGCATGACATGGCTGCTATACAATACAACCATAGAATGTATAATAATATCTTATTAGATACATAATACAACGAAAACCTTGTCTTTTTTATTTGAGAAAGCTTCATTCAATTTCTTACAAAAATACGTGTGCGCGCGTGTGTAGTCATGAATTACACACCCACTTTTATAAGAAATCGAATGTTCCGTGTACAGCGGTAAACGAACGGAAACAAGATCTTAAAATAAGACATTTTCCTTTTCACAATATTACATCTACATTTACAATGTACTTGTATACTTCTGTATCTTTACTAATATCATAAATGTGAAACTGAGTTTGTAACTTTTTGGTGATTTAACATGGCAGATAAACATAACTATACTGTATAATCCAATAAACCTATTACATTTATTTTTTATTTAGATATAAGATACGAATGTACTAGTAGTTTATTGAAGTGTTGTTTACGTCATTCTAAATGTGAGACGTAACCCTTAGAAGGTAATTATAATTAAGGCACATGGATATTTACTAATATAGTTTTAAAATGAAATCGTTTAATAACATTGCTTGCCTATTGCTCTACAGCTATTTTGTAATTATTAATTATGTTATATTTAAGTGCCGGAGATTTCATTCGCGTGACTAGCACATATCGATTGACTCCGTACCAAACACTAGATACATGTAAGCTTTTGACGCTAAAAGAACGAATTCAATTTTATATTTAAATATTAATGAGGGCTAGAGATACATTAGTATTAATTATTGTTTTGTCAATTAATGTCAATAGGTATATATTATATAAATACAATACTTTAGCAGTAATAAGTAATAATTTAATAATTGTGTTAAAATCATCATATGGTAGAAACCGTTGTAAATACTATATACCTATAGATATTTTGTAAATTATTGTGTATACAATCCTCATAGCTTTCGTGGTACTACAGACTGCGTGCGTGCGTCATAATTTTATGCTTATTTTGAATCTGTAGTTAAGGTGTTTTCGATACTATGAGTAGGTATAAATTTATTAGGACTTATTATTCTATCGATCGATTAAAAACAAGCATTCCGATCATTATTTTTTTTTTGTGTGGTGCATGAGTCTGCAATTATTTATTGGAAGGTGAAGCAGTGAGTTAAATTGCTACATAACCATGGTAGTCAAATATATCAGGAAAGGCAACTGTTTACCGAATGATATATTACATAATCCCCTTGTTTGTGTATCTTGTTACTGCAAAGGGTATATAGTCCCGAAGCACAGCTCGTAGACCGTAATAGATTCGGTGAGGTACATGTTATACAAAAGAGTTTTTGACAAAATACATGGTAGTATCCATTCACATAATCTAGAAGCCAATTAGTAGGTAACCTAATGAACAGGTAATTACTAGTCCTTGTACCAAAATTAACAAAATTACGTTAGAAGTCACAAGATAGTGAACTATTTTATAATATTAGCTTTTGTTATTTGTTGAACCCACATCTCATTCTTGAAATAAATAGGGTACAATTATTGATTGTCAAAATTATTGTCGATCTAAAATTATATATATTTTTCATTAACAATAATTCAATTATAGCTATAGGATTTGTAAGTATTAATATTGTTGAGTATAAATGAGCACAACATCAGAATCATAATAAAATTATGGAGAAAAATATTGTACTCGTATTTGAATTGCAATATATATATATATATTATATAAAACAAAAAAGGTCAGAATTATTATTTATATTTATGTCACGAAGTCGTTTAGAAGTAAAGTGACATACAAAATATTTGCCAGTAAACATGTCCTAGTCGAGAAATCATTAAAAGTTTTCCTCTAAAAAGAAGCTTTGAAATCTGACGTACGCTCCATGAGACGTCATCTAATATAAAGGAAATATATGGGTCATATCACTTTTTGACATTTAAGAATGGACCACGTGAGTTTAATATTAAGTTATGATTTTCCTACTGAAAATAATTCAATTTTCCATTACATTATACTTTTCGCAGGCCCCTCGTGTACATTATATTAATAATTATATAATTAAAATTACTAATATAATATAGGAAAAGTCTTTTCCTCTCCACTTATGCTGTTATTACTTTTAATTTAAGAATTCAGTAATAAAAAAAAATATTTTATTTTCTTTTTTTTATATAATATAGAAATTTAGGCCAATATAGATAAAGCACAAAGATTATTATTTATGCGAAACTTGAAATAATGTAACAATAAACAAAACCACTGCAGTAAGTAGGTTATCAGTTAAAAGTTTGAAGTTTTAATAATATAAAGAGGAAAGAGTTGATTGTTTATTTATTTGCAACGGATAAACATAAAAACTACCCCTACTACTACTGACTTTTAAATTTTTATAACCTACAGAGAGCTTTATTATCAGCGAGTAACGCAGGGTGCACATTATTTTCGAAAATTCTATCTACCTATGCGAAGCGAAGTCGGATCGCTAGTATTTCATAAGTTGAATGTTTACTAAAATTATTTATCAAAAAAAATATACCTTCCCACAATGTTTGATTTCATAATTAATGTTAAATCCATATTAATTAGTGACGGAGTAAATTTATTCAGCATTTAATTATACATCAGTGTAAGATAGAATGATTGTCGTAATATTAATTGCACATTTATAAATTAATGTATGCACTTTTCATAACCACAGGATAGGTTAAGCATTATGACGTTTGGAAGTAATAAATTATAATAAAGAATACTAATAAAAAACTCTCTTTCATATCTATAATCTTAATAAGGATCATGTGAATAAAAAATAAATTGTATATAATCCATATTCTATTACTTTACTTTTATCTTTTGTATCTTATACTTTTGTAACCGATAGACACAAAATATTTAGAGTAAAGTAGTCCAGGCTTTCAAGACGATTGGATTCATGTGCGGAATAGTAGTTTATAATCATTTGCCTCTATAATACAGAAGATGAGAAAAAAAAAATCGATTTGACGAGAAAGAATACAAGATAACATTGTTGTACGATAGTTATGAGAGTAAACAGATGTTAAAGTATATATTTTTATCTGTAAATTTCCATTAAGTGCCATCTGTCTGTTAATCTCTTCTTACCTGTTGTAAAATAATGAATGCGTATAATAAGCCATAAATTCCCAATTAGCGATAATTAATTACTTAACACATTATTTCTGCGTTTGACAATTTATTTCCCTTTGAAAATGCTTTTAGAGAAAAGCAAAAATAATTTACTGTAAAAATAAACGTAAAAGAATTTTTTAAATATTGTACACCGAGAGACATATATTTCGTATTAATTTATTTTTTATATATTATATGCATTGCTAGAACATTTATAATAATAATATATGAAGGATTTGTAGATATATCAATCTAGTTACATATAGTGAATCTATAAATGCATTAGTGAAGCTATATACAATTGAACTTACCTTGAGCGAAGCCATATCGGAGACTGAGCGATGAGTTTGTATGGTCTCGAGCTGGTCCAGACACCAGTCGAGCTCTTCCACTGTTTCCAGTGCTAGCTTCATATAGGCTTCGTCTGTAACAAAAAGTAATTAATAAATAATAATGATAAATATTTTTTGTTTAAGTAAACTTAATAATAAGTACTTAATAGTATTTTTTTTATGAAACTACCGCTTAGTTTGAAATGCCATTTCAGCTGAAAAGAACGGGCTATAAACACAGCTGTTGCTTATTTTTTAAAGTATAAGTTTAATACAAAAAAAATGAATGGATAAAATTACTATCACAAACTTCGTATTTATAAAAAGAAAGAAAATAAAAGGTTTATTGTAAAGAAAAAGCTACATAGCCTAAATCTTGTTTACTGATTTCTATTGGCTTGTGTCAAAGGCGTTTTAACTGAGAAGAATAGAAGAATGAATGAGAAACTCGATCGCAGTTTTTAAACATTTAATTTGGCAGATTTTTTAAACATTACATAAGGTCTTTGGCAAAAAAAATATCACACCATAAAAAACAAAGATAATTTAAAACATACAACTATCATTATTTATATACACAATTATCCAGCCAAGCTTTGCACGGGTAGATAGAATTTTCAAAAATATTTTTTACTTTTTATAGATGAAAGGTTTTTCAAAATCGATTGAAAAGTTTTTGAATTTATCCATTAAAAACAATCAAATCTTTCCTCTATGTAGTATTAGTGTAGATAAATATTTCCACAATGCAACAATTATTTCTACACATTACTGGCTATACATTACAGTATTTTTGCGACAAATTTCATCAGTAACGCATCTATATGTAAGAGGTTAGAATAATTAAAATTTATTGGTGACCCGTTAGCCTATACAATCTTGTTATTGTTATATTTAAATAAAACTTATTTAATTGCAAACATATTTATTAACATCAAGAGAATGAACAAAGGTGAGAAAGCAACCGGAAGATCCGCTAGTACATACATGTTAACTAATGTCATCTGTCAATTAAGATGCGTTCCTTTATACATATTTAAACTAGGTACGTTCATCTTACACCTCCCCTTCAACTTTAAAACAAAACTTTTACAATCAATTACAAAATAAAAAAACATTTTACAAAATTACATTATAAATTGAGTCTATCTTTAGGTTTTATAATTCTTCCACTGCGAGTGTGACATGCTTTATGAGGGATATTTGATTGGTTACTATTTTCAGATACAATATTTGGCACATTATTACTAACTTTGTCATTTAAAGAATAATCAAAAAAATCTCTCTTAAAACTATGTGTTTTTGTGTTTGACCTCTTAATGTGATGAGAAGTGCGCCTAAAGGGCTTACAATTTTCTCCCCTACTGATCCAATATGATCTAGGTTCTTTAGACTTCTTAATAACTACTCCTTTTTTCCAATAACTATCATGACCTGTCCTATAAGTTACATTTTCTCCTTCCTTAAAATTTGTTTCACCCTTCCTTATAAATCTATCATGAATTTTTTTAGTTATAGATTGTTTCACAGTTAACAATTTATGAATATTTTTCTCTATTTTAGGTTCTAACATGCTTTCTGTAATAGGTACACAAGTTCTCAACTGTCTACTCTGTAATATTTGAGATGGTGATACTTCTAAACTAGATAAAGGTGTACAGTTATAACTTAATAGAAAATCTCTATAATCTACATTATCCTCCCTCGCTTTCTTTAATAAATTTTTAGCAATATTTACTGCCTTTTCTGACATGCCGTTACTTCTAGGATAGTGAGGGCTACTGGTAGTGATACAAATATCTTTAGATTTATAATACTGAATACATTCATAAGATTTAAATGGATTGTTATCTGCTATAATTTCAGTAGGGTAACCAAACCTTGTAAATACTTCCTGAAAAGCATTTATAACAGACTTTGAACTTTTATTTATTATTGGTATAATTTCCAACCAATGTGATAGATAATCCACAACGACAAGGTAGGATTTCCCTCCATACTCCATAATATCAGAACCTACTTTTGAAAATCTTAATTTAGGTATCTTATGCATTAACAATGGTTCATGAGTATTTGCAGATTTAAATTTCTCACAAGTTCTACATTTAGATATAAAGATTTGAATATCCTGAGACAATTTCGGCCAATAAAATAGCTGTCTAGCTTTTTTAATACTTTTACTTATGCCTGGGTGACCAGAATGAACTAAATTTAATACATATAATTGTAAAGATTTAGGAACAATAATTTTGTTAGTATAGAACACTAAACCTGATTCTACATAGATAACCTCTTTAAATTTAAAATATGGTTTACATTCTTTTAACAATTTATTTTCTTCAGGCCATCCTTGATAATAATATTTTATAATTTCAGATAACACTTTATCTTTGCTAGTCTCAGATCTGAACTCAGACTTTCTTTCACTACTCATAGGCAAATGCAATGAAACTGAATGAACCATGTCTAACATTTCATAGTCCTTCTCTGTTGTTTTCATACTACATCTAGATAACATGTCTGCAAAATGAATGTCTTTACCTGGTATATAATTAAGATTTAATCTATAATTTAATAATTTAAGACACAAACGTCTAAGCCTTGGAGATCCTACTTTAGTAATAGGCTTTTTAATAATTGAAATCAATGGTTTGTGATCTGTTTGTACCTGAATATTTTTAGCACCATATATATATTTATGGAATTTTTGTGTACCAAAATAAATAGCTAATAATTCCTTTTCCGTTTGACTATAGTTTAATTCACAATTGTTCATTGTTCTGGATACACAAGCTACTAATCTTAAACAGTTATTGTTATCTTTTTGAAACAAACAACTACCTATTCCATTCTGAGATGCATCACACTGCATTATAATTTCCTTTTTAGAATCAAAAGCACTCAAAGCTGGAGCCTCTGAAACTTTCTTTTTGAGCTCTGAAAAATTTTTATCATGTATTGGTAACCACTGAAATAAAACATCTTTTTTCAATAATTGACATAATGGAGCCATAAGCTCAGCCATTTCTGGTACATATCTTCTAACATAATTGAATGACCCTATAATTCTTCTTAACTCAGCTATATTCCTAGGAGCTTCTAGACTTAATAAAGATTTGACTCTATCCTTGTCCATTTCCATACCCTTTTCACTGAATATTTGTCCTATATATTTAATTTCTTTTAACTTATATTGCAACTTGTCTTTATTAAATTTAGCTTTTATTTGTTTTGCACGTTTAATAACTTCCCTAACAGTTTTATCATGAGCTTCCTCAGTTTCTCCCATAACTAGTAAGTCATCGAACCATGTTATTACATTAGGTATATCGCCAAAGTAATTTTGAATTTGATCTTGAAATACATCAGGTGAATTTGAAAGACCATACGGTAAAACTAAGTATCTATACACTCCAAAAGGTGTCGCAAAACAACATTTCCATGATGCACTTTCTGTTAGTGTCACATGATGAAATCCTTCCGATAAATCAAAAACTGAAAAATACTTTTTACCTTTTACTTTACATGCTATCTCATCTACAGTTAATAATACTTGGGGTTTTCTAATTATTTTTTTATTTAACTCACTGGGATCTAAACACAATCTTATTTCCATTAGGTTTTTCTACTAAAACTAGCCTATTTATACATGCTTCTGAACTTATCTCTTCAACTTTAGTGATAGCTTTCCTCTTAACTAACCTATTCAATTCACACTTCAAAGGATTATATAATTTATTTGGTATCTTAGGTGCCGCATGACAAATTTGCTCATGTGGTAATGTAGGAATATCCACTGGTTTAGGAAAATTTCCATGACCTTCAAAAATTTCCATATTTTCTTGTATAAACTTAAATTTCTCATCATTACAATTTAAATTTACTGTATTAATTCTTTTAACTAAATTCAATGCAATACAACCTGGTAATCCTAGTAACATTGATTTACAGTCAACTACCATGAAATCTTCATAACATTCAATTGCTTTATATTTACAGTGTAAATTTACCATACCCACTGGTTTAATTGTGGAGCCTTGAAAGGCCTCTAAACTTTGGTTACATTTCCTAAGTTCAATATTACTTCCTAGTGACTTATATATATTTAATGGCATTATACTCACATCTGCCCCGGTATCTAATCTACAGTTTACATACCTGTTCTCAATTAAAATGTTCTCTGTCCAGTGTGTCTTTTTATTACCTTTTACTTTGTTTCTCGTTATACTGCAACAATACAATTTAGAATTAGAGTCACTGTCAGAATTACAATCTACATTTTGTACCTTTTTCTTCACATTACAACTAACTGCAAAGTGATTCTTTAATCCACATTTATGACATCTCTGCCCAAAGGCTGGACACTCCCTCGGACCGTGGTTTCTCTTACAGCGCCTACAATTAAATTTTTCTATATATTTTGTTTTATTTTCTTGATATGCATGCTGCCTTCCTTTATTTTTCTGTTTCCCATTATATACTTCTTTATTTCCTTGATATACTTCCTTTTCCTTCTGTTTTAAACTATTTCTTTTCTTCACTATATCTATTTCTATATTTGGATTCATCTCTTTTGCCTGCTTTTTACTAATTTCACTTGTACGACAAAAGTTGGTTGCCTTCTCAAGTGTTAAATTGTCTATTCTTAGTAGAGATTCCTGTAAGGACTTGTCGTATATGCCTTGCACTATTTTATCTCTTAATATTTGGTCCTCTAATGATTCTTGTCCTTCTACATTTTTATACGAACAATTAGCAAGCAGCTGTTTTAAATCTGTGAGAAAATTATGAAAACTTTCGCCTTCTTTTTGTTTCCTTTCATTAAATTTATATCTTTCAAATACTTGATTTGCTCTTGGACTTACATAATTATTAATAGCTCTTATAACATTTGCATAGACTTGCGATTCTGTTTCCGTAATCGGCAATGTATGTAGCAATCTTGCAGATTCGATTCCCATCATATTACGCAAAAGTGATAATTTTACTTTGTCCTGCGAGTCATCTTTTCCAATGCTCATTAAATAATCCTCGAATGCCTGTATCCATACCTTCCACTCTGAGGCTGCATTAGGCGATCTTATGTCGAAAT